ATGAAGTATCTTTCCCTGTCCACACTGTTTCTGGAATGTCAAAGCCCAAAGGAACTGATGGTGACCTGTTAAGTAAATAACAAGCTGTGTTGACTGTTTCACCCCTTAATGGCTTTGGTAATTTTGCCATCCTCAACATACATCTGACTTTTTCTACAATGGTGCGATTCATTCTTTCAGCTACACCATTATGCTGCGGTGTTCCAGGTTCTGTCCTCTCATGCTTGATCCCATGCTTTGAGCAATACTCTTCAAAGCCTTTAGATGCGTATTTCCCACCATTATCAGTTCGAATACACTTCAAGGGTAACCCTGTCATCCTTTCAATCATGGCATGAAATTTTTAAAAATATTGCAGTACCTGACTTTTGTATTTCAACATATACACCCAAGTCTTACGTGAAGCATTATCAATAAAAGTAACAAAATATCTGCTACCACCTAATGACTCAACCTCAATGGGACCACATACGTCAGAATAAATTAATTCCAATCTATTTTCTTTTCTTTGAGAACTTTTACGAAAAGAAACTCTATGATGCTTACCAAACAAACAATAATAACATGAATTGAGAGACATACCTTTGGTCAAAGGAATGAGAGACTGCCTTGCCAAAACCTGTAACCTTTTTTCACTCATATGTGCCAGCCTCTTGTGCCACAAGTTTGTTGAAGCATCATTTTCAACGGTATTTACCTGGTTATCGTTCAATTGCATCCATATCTTATACATTGTGCAACATAGTTTTTCCCTTGTAACTATCATAGATCCTTTGAGAAGCTTTCACTATCCATTCTTTTGTCGGCTTTCATATCCCTCCTTATCAAGGACATTAATAGCAAGCAAGTTCATTCTCATATCTGAAATGTGTCTGACATCCCTCAAAGTCAACATGCAGCCTATACTAGTTTGTACAACAATATCACAAATCCCAACAATCTGTGACACATTCTTGTTTCCCATCTTGGTACAACCAAAGTCTCTTGCTTTGTAAGTTGTAAACAACTCTCTCTTAGGAACACAATGATATGTCACTCCTGTGTCAACTATCCACTCAATGTCGAGATCACTAACATGATTACAATCACCATGTGTACAAATCAAAGTAACTGAATCACTATCTGAATTCACTGCTGCAATATTGCCATCATCTGAACTCTTGCCTTTCTCATCTTTTCGGTCTTGCTTTAAGATTCTACAGTTTCGTTTTATATGACCCGCCTTACCACAATGGAAACACTTCACTTTACCTCTAGACTTGGATCTATGTTTAGACTTACCACGACGTTTTAAGTCTTGACCTCTGTCGATGTTTCTACTCCTATTCTCTGTGACTAGAGCTTGATTCCCAAGGTCTACATCTTTTCGCCTTGCTTCTTCATTAAGCATACTATCATTTACCATCTCCAATGTCACCTTATAATCAGGAGCTGAATTAAGAACAGTCACAACTAGAGTATTCCAGCTGTTTGGCAATGAACCCAAAAGAAATAACGCCTTCATTTCATCATCCATCTTAAGCTCCATAGTAGTCATCCGATTAAATATATCTTGAAATCACTCAAGTGCTCTGTAACAGATCATCCATCCCTGTACTGTAAAGTTGTAATCTTTTTAACAAGCATAACTTTATTCATACCTATTTTTCTCTCATACAATGCTGCCAATTTTGTCCAAACAATGTGAGCATCTGACTCCTGTGCTACATGATGAAACACATTGATATCAACCTATTTTTTTATTATAGCCAGCGTCTTTCTACCTAACTTCTTCCAGCTTTCATCTTTCATATATGCTGGTTTAGCCGAATCACCCAATAATGGCTCATACAAATCTTTGCAGTATAGATGATCCTCTATCATAGGCTTCCAAATTGAATAATTCGATGCTGTCAATTTTATCATGGAACCTGTATCACCCTCCATGATCTCAAATAGAATTTACTTCTATCCTGCGTTGCTTCTGTATTGTTGTCTCAAAATAACCCTTGCTTTGATACCACTTATTGCGCCTGAAGCAATAATCACAACAATACAGAAGTAATAGACAACAATCAATAATCAAATACGCAGGAAAAATAAAGCACACCAAGATTTACGTGGAAAACCCTCCAGTGTAGAGGGAAAAAATCACGGGCCACCAGAAAAATCTTCACTATCAAATAATAGTTATACAAAGTTCTTCTCTAGCTAAAACTAGAGCTAATCAATAACTAGAGAAACAATTGGAAAAATCTCACCAATTAAGTGACTCAACAAATACACCCTGGATTTGTTCCTAGAGAGCTTCAAACCCGATCTTCACCGTTAAGAATGTAGAACTCTGAATCATAAACCTCTTGACAAGGTTCCAACTCAATCGAACCACGGATCGACTTTCGTTCAACCAACTCTCCCTTCTCCTTTTTCTCTCTCTGCTTTTCCTGGCTTTTCTTCTTTTTCTACTTGGTTTTCGACACACACCTAAAACAACCCCACCTCTTTTTTATTAAGTAGCTAGGGCTCTGTGTAAAATAAAAGATCAAGGCCCATGGCCTTTACTTGGTCCAAAACCACTTACATGGGACTGGACCCCATTTTCCTAACAATGACCACATGAAAAAACAATCTTAACAATGTAAAAAAAGAAGAACAATTAATCGAACAACAAACATAGTCAGAAACAATAACATCAAAAGAACAACAAAAGACAACAAAGAACGAACCATCCATAAAAAAGAGTGAAAATAATTTAAGAAATCAAACATGAAGAGAAAAGAAAAAATTGAACTGGACGAGAAAAACAAACAAAATAAGAAAACCACTGAAAAGCCTAACAAAAAAAGAGAAACGGGAAGTAGAGATGAAACAAATCCCCAAACTTAAAAACCACCTTTCATCCTAAAATTAACTACCTAATTACTTTTTAATACATTGCTTAGCTGTCCGAGTAAGAAGCAAATGGAGACAGTTTTTATATTATGTAATAGATGTTATAGATTATGGACTTAAAGAATTGAGTACAGGAAGAGCTATGATACATAGCTAGATGCTTAGGGGTCGATTTGAATTATGTCAGTTATATTGGCATTTACAAATCTTTGCTCAAGATCCAATGTAGTCCATCCATGGAGGCTTGGTTATTATTCAAAAGAATGTTAAATATTATTATTTTAATTAAATTTAAATGTAACTAAAAGATTATAATTATCAAAACCAAATCAAACAATGAATCGTTTAATATGTTAGGTTATTGGATCATTGGTTCAATCGTTGGGTTAATCAAATCAATTTTTGAATCAATAAAAATATAAATATTTTAAAATTTTAATCAATTATGTGATAAATAATAAAATTCTATAGTAGATAATTTCATACTTTAAAAAAAATTAAAATATATAGCATAATATAAGAAATATTAAAAAGTATATATATAAAAAAACATATAATAAATTTAAAATTCAAACTTAAACTCCTAACTCAAATTCTGAAAATACTAGTCAAAATATCAAATAATTCAATCATATTAATTTAGAGAACCAAACAAAAGTAAATATGCTAAAAAACTTAAAACAAAAAACAAAATTAATTTCATGTGAGGGTTTCACATACATAGAAATACAAATGAGAAAGAGGTTATGTTTTTTTAAGTTGATTTTTTAATATGCATAAAGTGTAAAGGAGGACAACATTATTTTATTTTATTTACATTTTATATTTTATATTTTCCTTTAAAATATATTATTTTAATTAAATAATACAATAATCTATAATTTCAATTATAAAAATTAAATTAATCATAATTTTTAAAGCTATTTTATTAGAAAATTTAAAACCTTTTCAATTCAATAAAACCTCATCGATTTATCTATTTATTAAGTAAATAGTTGATTCAATATGATTTAAAGAAAATTAATTGCAGGTTTGTTAAAATAATAAAACCGAACCTATTTAAATATCAAATCATCGATTCAACAATCTAACTAACAGTCCAATCCAATTCGAATGAACACGCAAAAATCTTCATATTTATAAAATATAACAATTTGGGCCGAATTTGGTTGGAGTAGGCCTTAATATCCCAGTTCGATGCCTGACACATAGGCTTGGTGAGCAACCTTAGCCATGAACAATTTACATATATCTCTTTAAAATATATTAAAAATTTAATAAAACATCCGGTAAATTGTAATGGCTCTTGTTTGGTTTGAAAACTTTACCGGCGATACATAGAAAGTGAACTTTTTAATGTAATAGATTAATAATAACATATAAAGGGGAAAAGATTTTTTCATGTGAAAATTTCAAAAAATAATAATAAAGATCTATTTGGATGGTGATGCTTTTATTTTTTACTTTAATTTTTATTTTTAGTTATTTTTTATTTTTTTTATTGAAAACAAATAACAAAAACATCAATCAAACCAAATGTATTATTGGACAATAGTTAATTTGTAAATCTCAAATGTAAAATTAACAGAAAATATTAATTTTTATTGATTAAATTTCTCAAGTAGATTTTGACAAAAAAAAAAAAAAAAACTCTTAAGTAAATTCCAATTCCTTATTCAATAAAATAAAATTTTGTACCTGTATAAAAAATCATGAGATTCAACAAAACAACTGGGACTTATTTGATTAAAAAAAAAAAAAAGAGAGTTATTTTTCATTTGTAACCCAACATAAAATAGCAACACCATGACATATACACACATTATAAAAGAAAAAAGAAGGAAAAAGAAAAGGAATTGATGGGATAAATATGGTCTTGGTGAGAGTACTATTGGAAGGAGGATAGCAAACCAAGTCAATTATATGTATAAGAACATTCTACTCTTTCTGGAAGCAACATGTTTGATGAAACAAGACATTTATGTAACATTAATGCATCAATTTCAAACATGTTCTTATATATGTTCTAACATTACCCTTAATTAAGAGCAGTTATGAAGTTGTAATGGGAAGTATAAATTGCTGATGATAGAATAAATAAACTAGAATCTCTTTGCTTGTGTAACGAGAAGATTTTTTAATGCATCGTAATTATGTTTATAATAAATCTTTAAAGATTCAGTAAATAAAACAACATATATGATACGAGGTAAATTATCTTATCACATATAACGAACTCTAAAACTCAATCACGACTACTTGAGGGTTAAGATCCATCTTTCAAAACTTGCACCAACCTGAGCCGATTCAAATTCACGCCCTGGTTGCAAGACTATTGAAACATTGATGGATGACCTTGGCAATGACAGTAACCTAAGTGTTGCCTCAGCTCCTTCTCTTGAGCAGCTATCACTGCAGCATATGTTGATTTTCTTCATCACAGTAGCTTTTGTTATGAGATGCCTAACAAATTCCAGTTCTCTCTCCTTTCCTTTGAATCCTTTTATCGATGCTACGCTTAGGTTACGCGTGATACAATCGCATAGCTCCCTTTTATCCCATAACATTGACTCTGGATATGGCAATGGGCAATTTTGAGTACCATTATCTGAGGTCGCTTCCCTCAATTTAGATTGCATTTCCTAAATATACAAAAATCAAGAGCAAATTGCATCACTTATCCATGACCTTTAAAAATGTTTCAAATTCACTCGATTCTGTCAATCATGTGGAAGTTCACATGACAAAAAAGAAAAGGAATTAGTTTGATTTTTTGGTTAAAATTTATATCATCTGGACATCCACACACGTGGTATTGATTTAACATATTTAGTTAAATTTCTTATGATGACGGAATGAATGAATTAATTGAAACACTTTTAAAGGATCGTGATCTAATAATTGAATTTTAAGAATCATAAATTAAAATTAAATATTACACAAAAATCACAAATAATTGATGCATTTTATTCCAAAAATCAGAATGCATTTCATTTAATAAGCTTTAATCTAGAAGAATATATATATATATATATATATCAAAAAATGTTTGATATAATATAAATCAGCCTCTGAAGACAAAGCTCAAGTTCATTGGCAATGGCATGTACCTGTATATTGATTTGAAGTTGCTGTAGATGAGTGCATACTTGTAAAACGAAAGAAAGTATCAACACTTCCCTTATGTTGTTCAAGTCCAAATCAATGGATAGCTTCCATAAATTTTCGAACAAACTCGAGTTATCCTCTCGATGACCATAAGCTTGATCATTTTCAGGTCTTTGAGGAGGCTAACCAAAACAATTTATCAGATAATCAAAGATATACATATGAGATTGTATAAAATTCACAGGATGCAGTAAAAACAAAACAGATAGTGAAAATACTTACTAATAGACCACTGCAATGCTCAAGAATTTCTGCAGCCTTCAATGGCTTATTTCCTGGATCTCTGACAATTTGGCTTGGATTTTCATGTTTCGGATTGCAATATGCACGAAACACCTTCAGTTTTGGGGCATTGATAACCAAATTTTTGGCTGGACATTTTATAGAATCAAGCACCAAAACCCCAAGGGATTTCGTTGATAAGTATATCCCTTTCAGCTCCAAATACTCCAGCTCCACAGTGTTAACATTATCACTAACAATCCGAACTCGATTGAAACCGGTGCAAGAACAAAGGCTCAAATGCTCTAAAAACCCACAACTATAAATGATTCCATCAAGGATTTCAGTTGGAAGAGACAAACATTTGAGTTTCAAGGTTTTTAGATTATGACATTGATCAAAAGGGGAGTGAGTTTCAAGCTCGTAATTTGTCAACTCAAGTGTATGCAAAGTTGCACATGAGAAAATTACTGATGGCAAACTCCATTTCAGATTACTAAATCTTGCTTCAAAATTCTGCTGACAACTAGGACTTTCTTCACAAGTGAAAGCTAGTTCTTGTACCCCTTTCTCTGATATAAGATATTTAATCCATTTTTCAAGCTGACCATTTTTGCAGCTATCTGAAAAATGAATGATTTTGCAACTAATCAAGTTACATGGATGAGAAAACAATACCTTGTCAATCATCATAACAGCACGGAAAATCTCTTTCTCCACATCATGTTTCAAGGAATTGATTCCAAGTCTTTGAGAGATCATTTGCTCTTGATAAAGAATCTGTTTGCTTGGTTTCATCATCCTTTTTGGATCAAAATCTAAACGAGAAACATACCTCCATAAACCCTTCCATCGCCTTGATAAAATACCTGTTCTTACAGCTTCATCAGCTGGTAATTTTGATAGAATCTCAGTCAAGAGTGTGTCAGGAAGCTTGTCGATCAAATCAGGGCCATGATCATGAGGCACTTCCTTTGCCAGATTTGATGTCATTTTTTCACTCGTTGATTTCTTTGAAAAGATGGGTTGTGACAGAAAATTGATAAAATACATATAGATGTAGAAATAGTTGCAGATTTGAGGATGAAAAGTTTAATACGGAAAGGGTATCTATCGTCATTTACAATGAAGGACATGCAAAAAAAACGTGTCGAGGGCGAGGGAAGAAGAAGCACCTGTCTTTAAATGTTCATTGACCTGTCTCTTACATTCACACTTAAGGAAATTCATTTATTCTCTTTGTCTATTACGGGGAAAAAAAAATAAAAACCCCAAGATTGCAAATTTTGTTTTGAAAAAAATTAGTAGAGAAAAAAGTAAAATTAAAAATAAAATTACATATAGCATGCAAGCTTGGTTGCCTTTGTAAACACCATTTTTTTTATTATTATTATTATTATTTGTTCTTTCTTTTTCTTCTTCTCTTTCTTCTCTTTCTTTTCTTCCCGTTTCTGGGTTTGTCTTCTTCTGCCTTTCATTTTTCTTTTTCTTCATCTTTATCCGAATCAAATGCATTAAATGCACAATCCCTAAAGTCCAAAATTACTGCGTTAGCTGTCAACGGCCGCCCGACAAGCCGTCAATCACGACCGACAGACGTAATTTTTCAATTGAAAAATGAGATTCGAATCCCAAAACTAAAGTCCAAAATTACTGCACTAGTTGTCAACGGCCGACCGATTAGCCGCCAATCACGATCGGCATACGTGATTTTTCAGTTGAAAAATGGGATTCGAATCCCAGAAGATCTGGGATTTGAATCCCAATAAGCTCTATAAATAGAGCTTGTCATCTGCAAACCAGGGGGGAGGCAGAACGAAAGAAAAAAACGACAAAAAAAAAAGGGAAGATTTTGTCGAAAAACAAATCTGCAGAAACACAAAAAAAAATAAAGCAAAATCACAGTCCCCAAGTAGGGGAACCCAGCGCCAGAAAGGCCACCTACAAAAAAAAAAAAAAGAAATCAATATATTTTGTCCAAAAAAAAAAAAAACAAAAAAAGAAAGGAGACCGAAACTTTGAGCCTCGATCTACGTCGATCGGGGCTGTTTCCGATGAAAAGAAGATCGGATCCGTGAAGATCGCGTCGAAGAGAACCACCAGAAGAATTTTGAGATTTTTCGGTGATCGAAAACCACCGGCAGCGACTGCCGACGGCAGCCAAACGGCGATCGGCACGGTAGTCCGATGACCGGCCGACTGCTCACCCCAGAGCTCTCTTCCCCTTTTTTTCTGAAAAATCGAAAGAATGAGCAAAAAAAAAAAAAATTTCAATCATTTATAGAAATCATTAAAAGCAAAATGACGTCGTTTTGAGCATAGGATCAAACGACGCCGTTTTGAGCCAAGGAGGATCCGTCGGTCGACCCATGACCCGACCCAGGGTCCGCGCACCCGACCCGAAGATCCGCCCTTTATCAGCCTCTGACCGGTCTGAGTGGACCGAAATCGAACCACCCAAACCGAACCGAACCGGTACTGAACCACTCAGACCGAGCCGAACCGCCGGACGAATCGCTGAACCGAATCGCGTTGACTGGACCGTTGACCGGTCCGGTTCAGGTAAAATTTTTTTTTTTTGAATTTTTCTTATTTTTTTATATATTATTTTATTAATATTTATGCATATTAAAATATTTATATTTGTTAGATTAAATGATGAAATTGTGGTTAAATTTTTTTTATATAATTATGTTAATTTTTAGAATAAACTTTAAAAACAATAATATAAAAATAAATTTAATAATAATACTTAAGTAATAAAAAATGAAAGAAAAAAAAATTTTTATCCGACGATGAGATTCAAAGGTATTTCGAGTAGTGATGCTTACGAAATCTCTGGGTGAGAAGATTTTTTTAAAATACTACCAGTGTATTAGAGTATTTATAAAAAAATTTTCAATACAGTAAAGATTTTTTTTTAAAACTAATAAATAAAAATTGGTTAATAAATTAAAAATATATGTAATAAAAATAGGAAGGAAAGAAATTTAATCTAATGATTCTAAAAGTATTTCGAGTAGAGATGCTTTAAGAAATCTCTAGGTAAGAAGATTTTTTGTAAAATATTATCAGCGTATTGAAATATTTATAGAAAATATTTAATATAATTAAATTCCTTTTTCTTTAAAATTTTAATTAAAATTAAAAAAATTAATCAAACAATTAATAAAATTTTCAAAAAAGAATAAAATATGTGCATCAACATGTTATTATTTGTATTGCATACATGACATAATTTTTTGCGAAAAGTAAATTTAGACCTCCCAAAGATGAGATTCTAAAAGTATTCCGAGTAGATATGCTTTAAGAAATCTCTAGGTGAGAAAGAATTCTTTTAATATTACCAATGTACTGGAACATTTTAAGAATTATTTCAATAAAAAGGTTTTGATTTATTTTTCTCGAGAATAATTTTTTTAATAAATAAAAAATCAAGAAAATTATTTTTCGAATGCTGAAAATAAGACTGTTTTTATCAAAATCAAAGGATAACACGTTGTTAATTGGTACCGTTTTTAACGGACGTTGTAGGGGTGCTAATCCTTCCCCACGCGTAACCGACTTCCGAACCCAGACTGTTTCGTAGACCGTAAAATTATCTTTTTAATAAATTTTAATTAATTTTAAGATTTCATTAAAATGATATGTTTTAATAGGTGATCAATCGCACCTAGCCAAAAAAGATTGGTTGCAACTCCGTTATTTTTTATTTTATTTTCAAATTCGTCGGACGGACACAAAATCGTTACGACAGCCTTTTAATTTTTTTTTTCTTTTTTGGAATAATCATGCATGCATGAATATATGCAACAAACGGTAAATCAAATGCTAATGTGTAAACTTTATCTTAATTTTTTTTTCTTTTCTGAAGGATGAATAAACAAAATTACTGCTACATACATGGATTTCGCCTTCCATTAATGATTTTTTTTGTTTTGTCATTTTTACTCTTGAAATGTAGACTTGACAGTTTCAAATACGACACTATGACACAATATAAAAATAACATGAAAAAAATTGTATATGTATTTTTAAAAAACATGTTTTGTATTTATTTATATTGATACAGATTTAGATACGATAATTTATATTTTATACGTGTTGATATATCTAAACACGTGTAAAACACAAAAAACACATTAATTAAATAAAACATGTTACATGGATACACGTTTAATACATGATATAATATGAAAAATATGTTTAATTTAATCCTGTCATAGGAGTATATGTTTAATATGTTTAACATGTTTAACATATTTTTATATTTATTTTAATTTAATAAAAACATAAAGATTATTCTGATTTTTAATCGTAATCTATAAATCGTTCCAAGACAAAAAAAAAATAAAATACAAGACAAAAATAAAATGTTAGTAAACAAATAATTACAATGTAAAACCATTAGACTGAAAGATATGATAAATTTAAAAGCTTATGGCTTGACTCTATATAGCGTCCCTAGTGGAATCACCAAACTGTCATAACATATAAATCTGTAAATCTATAACTAGACTTAACAAATAGATAGAGTCGTCACGAATCTTTTTTATCTATGTGTGATTAACCACCAAATGAATCTATCATTTTAAGGAGCTTTTAAGCTTGATTAAGGGTCCCTAAAAGAATAGGTTTAGGTCTACAAATCAGAACAAGGTTTGGGAGTTTGGTTACATGTGAGAAGGTTATAGCACTCTCACATACCTGTCCAAAGGATGGTATCATATTATTTTAAATTTATCATAGGGTATTGAGTCTAATGGTTTCAAATTTTTATGTTAAATATTGGAAATAATTTATAAGATTCTTTCATCAATCTGGTAGAATTTCTAAAAATATTTTCTCACCTAAAAAATATTCAAGAATTCCATTTGTTTTCTTGAAGATGCTCCGTCATTGAAAATTTTAATTATTATTTTTTTTGTTGAATTTTTTTAATTATTCTACCATTTGGGCTAAATAAAAAATATTTTCTTGTTTTGAATTTCTAAATTCTCCACCATTTGAGCTTCTTTAGAAATTTTTTTTATTTATTTATTTTTTTTGAATTTTTGAATTTTTCACAATTTGGGTCAATTTAGAAATTCTTTTTTTTTTCTTTTTTTTTTGTTTTTGGAAAGAAAATAAAATGACAATTATTTTTCTATTGAAATCTCATTTAAATTCTTCCACAATTTGGGACAAATTTAAAGAAATTTCTCACCTAGAGATTTCTTAGAAATTTACCATTTGAAATTTCTAAAAATCTCATCCTTGGATAATCATCAAATATTTTCAACCCAATTTGAAAAAGAATACAATTACTTTTATTGAAATTTCATCTAAATTATTCTACCATTTGGGACAAATTTAGAGAAAATTTTTCACTTATAGATTTCTTAAAAATTTACTATTTACAATTTTTAAGAATATCATCTTTGGGTAATTTATACTTGATTCCAAAATTTTTATCAATATTTTTTTTATTTTTTATTTTTTGTTTTGAAAATAAGTATTAATTATTGTTATTAAAACATTATCTAAATTATTCCACAATTTGAGATAAATTTAGACAAAATTTCTTACCTAGGAATTTCCTAGAAATTTACCATTTGAAATTTCTATAAATTTTATTATTGAATAATTAATATTTATTCTCAAAATCTATTTTATTTTTTACCTTTTTTATTTTTTTCTTAAAATTTAATTATGCAAAAATACTCAAAAAATAAATAAATAAAGTGAAAAAAAAAAACCCAAAACAGGAGGCGACTCGGCTCTAATGGCTATAGCGTGGCTCGGCTGCAAGAAGAAAAGTTGGAATAGCTTAAAAGGTGACTTCGCTTGGCTCGGCTTGAGACAAAGACTGAAAAAAGTCATTGAAATTTGGGAATTTTGTAGATTTTTTTAAAAAAAAATTTTTAAAACCCCAAAAAATCTTCAAAAAATTTTCTTGACTGCTTTCTCTGATTTCTGCTTCTTTCCCTAAATTTTTTATGTGTTTGTGTAATCTGTGTGGGCATGTATTTATAGGATTTTAAATATGAGAAATCTAATCCAAAAAGAAAATCTCAATTTCCTTTGAATTCTAACCTTA